ATTGCGCTATTGTCTTAATTGTTTTTTGTTGATATTGTTGTTGCGCATCTGTCCGATAGTTATCATAGCTATTTTGTAATTGTTTCTTATTTCTTTTTTTTTTTGCTTTGTTTTTTTTAGGATGAAATATTTGATAGGAATATTAACCATCTTCAAATTTATTATTATTTATTCTTTGAGCTAAATTTTTAATGAAATATTTTGTATGAAATCTTTTGCCTGATTTATACCAATTAATACATATTTAATTAATATTTTCTAATTTAATCTATGTTTAGGTAATACTGTTCGAATTAACTTATGCTTAAGTAATATTGTTCGGACTAATCCATATTTAAATAATATTGTTCGAATTAATCTATATTTAAGTTATGCTAAGTAATTAATTTATATCCAAGTAATATTATTCTAATTAATCTATATTTAAGTTATGCTAAGCAATTAATCTATATTTAAGTAACAAACAGTAAACAAATATTTTTAGGAGTAAATATAATTCAAAAAATTGTAACAATGATATTAAGAAAAAAAAACAACAATGAATTTTCATATTTTCTAAAACCCAATTTATGCACATATTTATATATTCTTCGCTTCAAACATTCCTTCTTCTTCCTCTTTGTTTTTCTATCATGAAATTAAAATTCAAAATAATTTCATCAAATTCAGAGACTAATTTTAAGTTATGAATTATTTTATTATTTTATTAGCAGCAATGTATCGCATTAATTGGAAATAATTTAATAAATATAACTAATGATTTGCAATGAAAAAAACTAATTTTTAAAACTAATTTTTATTTAAAAGGAAATAATCTTGAACTGTTTATTTCACAAAAAAAAAAAAGAATAAAATATTTACAATCATTGTTTAGTGATTAATAATCATCGCATTTTTCTATTTCTTTTTTTGCTAAATTTTGTATAAGCTGAAAAATTTTCTTCTTTTTAAACATTTTTTTTTCCTATTTTTTGGATCAAAATTTTTCATCTCTATTTTTACCAATTCATTTTTTTTTTTGCATAATTTATTTAAAATATTAATTTCAAATGGTTTTGAAAATATGATTTTTTTTTTTTAAATGAGGAATTAACGATAATATGCATACAACTAAATATGCTAAAATTAATAAAATCCAATAATTTAACATGCGCTAATAAAATTAATAATATAATTTTTTGAGGAAAAAAGGGAAAAAAAGTTGAAAAAGTTGAAAAATTGAATTCAAAAAGTTTAACTTAATTGTTAATCTTTTTTTTTAAAGTCTTTATTATTACAAATAATTATCAAATATTAAATAAAATTATTAAATGTAATTTTTTTAAAAAATTTACGGTAAAAAAAACTTTTAACCATTTTAGTTGTTATAAAACTTTGCTTTGTTTGATCAATTAATCCAATATCAGCTGCATAAATTAGCAATGCTTGTAATAAAATGATAAAACAATAACGACTACTCATAACATGATAACGATAACTACGCACAGCTAAACAAGCTGTTATCAGTGAAAGTTTTCCACGTTCTGTCATCTAAATTAATTAAAAATTGCATTAATAATTTCATTAGTATTAAAACTTATATTAATAATTTTATTAATATTTGACTAATTAAGTAAGTAAGTTACAAAAAGAAAAAAGAAAGATTTGAATAATTCGACTATACTTTCACACTAATTAATGCACTGTTATCAATGAATGTTCTCCATTGTTCCTTCATCTTAATTAATTAATTTATAAAAATAAATGATTCAATTACTCTTTTATATCAAATAATGTATCAAACAAAGTATGCTTATGCTTTCTCTTTCAATTTTTTAAAAAATTTATTTATTATTAAATAATGAGTTTGTTAATTACAATTAATAATTTGGTCAATTATCAAATATTATTGCTTGAATTAAATTAAGCAATTTGCTAATACCATAACTAATTACTTAATGAATTGCAATAATTAATTACTTGTTTACAAAGTATCGAAAGGAGTACATATGTTCCAGTTCTTCTTGTTCCACTAACACCATGTACCAATGTTGGATTTTTCTTATCAAGTACATTACTTTGTTCAATTGCCCATGTTGCTCGAACAAGACTGAGAAGTTCAGTAATAACCGGTCGTTTTGATACCTTTAAAAATATAAAACATTTTTACTTTAATTATTTCACTAAAAAAAAAATATTAAATGAATTTCATTAGTACTGTATAAATCATTATTGAAATATCGCGGGAATTATTATTGAAATATTGCGGGATTGTGATATCAATAAAGAAACAATAATAAAAGTTGAAAAAAAAGTTGCAGCAATGTTACATGCAACAATTTTAAATTAAAATTATAAATTAGAAATATAAATTATTCCAATTTTGAATTGTATTATTCTTCAAATGCTTTGAATTTATTTTTTTTTTTACAATTCTCTACATTTCTTTACTACTCATTCGTATATTTCTATTTTAAATTTTAATTTTTAATCTTTCGTTGAGAAAAAGACAAAATTAAAATAATCACTCACATATTTCTTCCTTATTTATCACTAAAATTATCATCACAAATTGATAATATCACTGACGAAATATCACTTAAAAAATGAAAAAAAAGCGATGAAATACGACATACTTCTTCCCATCCAGTAAATACAAGTACATATATTGTACGTTCTCCAGGATCATATTTATTTGTGAATTTTAAAATAAATGTTGTTACTGGACCTTCATTTCGTGATGAAACTGTTCTAATCATGAAATATTTTTGCTGAAATTAATCATATTTTAATTAATTAAATTTAATTAAATTTGTCATGGCATATTATTATGACAATAACAAAGAATTATATTTTATTTTATTAAATTTATTGCATCAAATTATGATAAGCAAAAAAAAACCACCTGTAAATTTATTTATCACCTAAATGATATGATATTTAACAATGCTCAAATATGTTTAATTTAAGTTGTGGGAGAAACAAAATATCGCTCAAATTATTTATTAAATTTTCCAAATTAATCCATTATTCAATTTCTGTTACAATCTAATTTTATCTTCTATCTACACTATTCCTTTTACACATTCCTTGCAAAAAATCATTTCTAAATCACGTTGATCTTAATAACAATAACAATAACGATAATATCATTATTACCGCTAATAATAGTGGTAATAATAATAACAGTAGTGATAATAATAACAATAATAGTGGTAATAATGATGATGACAGCAATGACAACAATAATAATACTAATAACAATAATGATAATAACAACAACAATAATAATAATAGTAATAATAAT